GAATGACTCTGTGTTTTTCTATAAGAAAGTGGGCTTGTGAGAACTAGAGAACACCCGGTCACCTTCCAGCTCTAGAACATCCAGGCTGCGTCCTCTGTCCTTTCCCTTCACTCCGTGTGGATTTATTGCATTTTAAACACTCATAGGGTGTATCTAGTTTTCTAACTTTGAATCTCTTATATTTCATACTTGCAGCCTGTTTGCCCATTCATTCTTTCCCCACCAGACCCCTGTCCTCTCTCTCAGTGGCGGCCTCTTGGGACCATGCCTCCCTGCCACTGTTTCTTCCCTCTGTGATGTTGATGAAGAGGGCAGGGCCTCATGGGTTTTTCCCAAACAGCAGGCTCCCTGCGCACATGCACATACAGCCAGGGTCAGATTCCTGATGGCAACTGTGATCTTTCTCTTCTGCTGCAGGTTGAAGAAGCGGCCACAAACATAGCTGTGGGAGCAGGTGTCCTGGCTAGTCTAGGATTAATTGGGATCGTCCTGTCTCGAACCAGGCGGGAAAAGCAATGAAATCAACGCATTGTCTTAATGACACCAGCTAATATGCAGTAATCTTGCTTAGCCAAGGGTTTGCTTCATTGATTTCACTCTTTGGTGATCACAGATGCTTATTTTAATGGATCTAAATAAAAGCATAGAAATATTATATTTGTGGGAATAATTAATTGAATATGAATTCTTCTTTTTGGTTTTCCAAATTTGATTCCCTATGGGTTTAAAAATTTCATTTAGCTAATAATAGATGTGTAAAATTTTAGGTATTCTTTTGGTCAGATCTGGGAAAATCTCAATCAAATGTTTGCATGTGCATACTGTAAAAGCTCAGGTTATCAACATTTCCTCTTTGTGCAGTGTCTGATCTTATATCTCTATGGATTGATCTACGAATCAACCTATTTGTGACTGACATTCTTGTTACAGTGGCCTCCTATGCGTTGGGCCATCTTTGACTGTGTCAGTGTTTAATGTCAAATCAGGCTTTTCCACATATTTATATGATTCATTATATTGTATTAATTGGATTAGCAAATAATTCATAGACCTTTGTTACTTTTGCTTGAAAATTCCTTTTCTTAATGTGTTCTGCTATTGTATAATTTCAAACTTTGGCTGCAATTTGCATCTCAATGTCAGAATAATTTACATTGAAATTATAGCGCATTTGACCTTACTTTTGGTATTTCATTAATTTTATTGTTTACCTTTTTAATCCTTTAATAAAAATTTTAGCTGATTTATTTTTTTATTGGTAAGTGAAAGTTATTTATTTACAACGTACAGCATGCTGTTTTGATATATGTTTATACTAGGGGATGGAGAAATTGAGCTATTTAACATATACATCACTTCATGTAAGTTTTTGAAGGTAAAAACTCTTAAAATCTACTCTTAACAATTTTCAGTTATATAACACATTGTCACTACCTGCAGTTGCCATGCTGCAGAATGGATCCCTTGCACTTACTCCTGTGCAACTGAAACTTCTTTCTTTTTTCCCCTTTTTGTTAGTATATATTTATGATATATGATAAATACATTCATTGTGGGGAACTGGTATACATACATATTGCATCTTGATCCTTTTTCTTCTCCTTCCCTTCCCCTCCTTCCCTCTCCCCCCACTGAGCGTGAATTCTGTCAAAGACAGAGCTGTATACTGCTATGGACTCAATGTCTATGTTCCCCGCTCCCCACAAATTCTTATGCTGAAGCTCTCACCCCAGTGGGATGGTATTTGGACACGGGGCCACTGGGCGGTCATTCGGTTTACACAAGGTGTTCTCAGTAGGGCTCCTGTGGTATGATTGGGTTTTTATGAGACAAAGAGACTGGAGTGCTCACTTTTTCTACCTCTACAATGTGCAGATATAGTGAGAAGGTGGCCATCTGCGTGCCAGAAAGGACATTTCTCTAGATGCTAATTCTGCTGGCACCTTGATTTTGGATTCTCAATTGCTATGGTTTGAATATAGTTGGCCTCTTCTCAAATTCATACTGAAACTTAATCCCTGTTAAGAACAGGATTTATCCATTCATGTGATTAATTGATTAGTAGTTAATTGGATTAATGGGTTTATATTAGAAGTCTTCCAAGATTCTCTCATTTTTTTTTTTTTTGTTTGTTTTTTTTCCGGTACCAGGAATTGAACTCATGACCTTGTGCTTGTGCTTGCCAGGCAGGCGCTGTGCTGCTGAGCTAAATCCCCAGCCCCCAAACTTCTTTTCTTTATGACTTATCCTCTGTAGTATCATATTATTATTATAACAGAAAATGACCCCTTCCCGCCAGCATACTTTAGTTTCTTAGTTGACCAGGTGATAGTTCCTGTTGTAGTTCCGGTTGCTTCTGTCTCCTAGAAACGGCTGGTCATTGTAATGCACAGCTGGTCACTATGATGTAAGAACCAATCCCCAACTGACAAGCCATTCTGCCTCTGTACTTCCTGCTTGCTTATCTCATATAAGCCCTAGACCACCAGATCATCTTGGGGATGATCCCAATCAGTGCCCATTGAGGTAAATAAATCTGCCTCCAAATCCTGGGTGTCGTTTTGGTGTAGGCTGTGTTGTGTGGAAGCCTGAGCTGAGTAACACAGATTCCTTGCCCTTAACCGCATTTCTGCTTCCTCTTGGAGGCCTGTGTTCTTTTTATGGTGCAAGGATACATGATGGGCAGAGGAGAAATGGACCACACTGATGTGCAAGAAGGAGAACTGGACCTGCCCGGGCTGGGATCCTTCTGGAACTATGTGTAAGATCCTAAGCCATGAATGTGACTCAACCATCAGGGCCCCTTTCTTTTTGTCATTCCAGCTCCTCTATCATCCAACTATGATTCCTGTCATTATTCCCATCTGCTTTCTGGGTCTTTGCGCTTCCTGTCTCTTTCACCTCCTTAGTGGTTCCACTTCTCACCATCCCCCAAGTCTCTGATTCCACATTCCCACCAGCCCTTTTCTTCCTCTGTCAACTCAGTATCACCTTTCCCAATGACCTGTGGCTCTGGGGTCCCAGTGGAAGTTCCCAAGAGAGAATCCAATTGCCACCTACAGCCTAGCTCAGCCTAGCCATTGGCTGCCTTTGTGTCATGCGACCCCTCTTAGGCCACCATGTGTGCCCAGCTCCATGACTGACAGTCTTGGTATGTGGACAGGCAGGGCTGGGGTAGCAGGTAGTGCCAGCTCCAACCTTTATTCCCACAAGAGCTGTGGACAGCATGGATCTTGTCTCAGGGCAGATTCATTGACTGGAATTACAGGTGGGAGCTCACAGTAGTCAGAAGATCTGATCCCCCAGTACAATACTACTCTTTGTAAAATAGGTTTGGATCCAAACATTTTATTTTTTCATGTGTTATGGTTTGTGTCTCAGTGTCCCCTCAAAGTCTCATGCGGTCATGGGGTGGGCTTTTAGCGTTTAATTGATTATGGGTGTGAGAGCTACACCCGCCCTGGGGTGGATAGTTTGCACATGTAAGGGAGAGGAAGAGGCTGCTTGTAGCCATTCCTCCCTTTTTAGTGCTGGCTGCATTTGCTGTGTTCTGCCGCCATGAGCTGTAGCCCTCTGCCATGTGCCACTCTGCCTTGTAACCTGCCAAGTATGGACTAAAACCTCCACAAACTGTAAGTGAAATAAATCTTTCCTTCCTTAATTTTGGGCATCAGGTGTTTTGTTCCAGCAATGACAGAAAAGTAACTAAGACATCATGTCTCAAATTTTCATTTTGTTAGAAGATGAAGGGTGGTGAGAGAGAAGTGAGAGTGCTCTGTCCCCTTGACTGTGGCAAGAACCCCCCTGTCTGTGCCAGGAGCCAGTGGCATGAAGAAGGCCAGTACCTGTGAGTTCTGGGATCCTGAGTCTGTCACCTGCTGTGGTGAATCAAGCTGGGCTACTGCAGGTCACACAGCTCTTGGGTTTCTCTTTGGCAGATAATGATACCCACTGACAGGTGTGAGTTCACTTTAGCTAGCCCCCTGCCTCACCCTAGGGAGGAGTGAATGCGTATCTCAGAGCAGTTTCCACCACACACATAGATAGTCACCAAGGGGCACGGACTCATTTACCCATCCTGCTCTGGAAGCTGAATGAAGACAATATTCTGTCCTTCTGGGTGCTACACCCATACCTCAGTCCTGCGAGGCAGGATTCCATTGCTCAAAAGCCAACTTCTGCCAACCAGAGACCCAACCCAGAGGCCAGCATGGCAGGTGTGTTCAGGTACATGCCTAAAGACACAGGCTCTAGGCTTCTCATAGTCTCTTCTGCAGGGGTGAGTAGGGGCTCAAAAATTACTTTACCCGATACATCTCTTATGCCTAGCACTAATTTCACCAGCAAGAGATCATTTGTAGCCTTCAGTTATGCTGATTATCAAGTCCTTAGATTTTCCAAAGAAAACCCACCTCCAGATAATTAGAAAAAATCTGGTGATCAGAGACATAGACAATTTGTAGTAGCCAACCTCTCAGCACAATGGCTGCCCACTGCGGCTGGAGTAGGTTTCCCTCGACTGGAAGGCAGCCCATGTCGGCCGTGTTCTCAGGGAAATTAGCCCTCCAGCCCTTTCATCTTTTAGGCAGTGGGGTGGAATGTGCCCAGGGGCTGAGCATGCTCTCTTTTGGGAAAATCTCAAGGAAAGAGGCTAGCTGGGGCTGCTCAGAGAGCAAAGCAGGTGCGGAGGCTATAAAGGAAACTGTGCTGGGGCCAACCTCTGCCCTGAGGGCTGCGCCAGGAGGGCTCCCACACCCTGGCCTCCTTCCTGCATCCTGACAGCCCCTCCTTAAGGGTGGACACAGATCGCTCTGTCTACCTTTCCTTCCCCAAAGGTCCAGATGGGACTGTCCCTTCTGCTGGGTAGAATTTGAAAACTGACTTTGTCTCCAAGCCCTCCTATTTCCCATGGTCAGTATCCCTCCCGCCTGACTGCCTGCTACCTCCTTTGCTCCTGACCACAAATTTCAAAGGCCACACACATGCCACAGCCACTGCTCCTTCTCAGCAACGCCTAAAGAGTTGTGGGCCCCAGCACCCTGATGCCCTTTAGGGTGGGTTACCAGGAGCTACAGGTTACCAGGAGCTCTGAGGGCTATTGTTGGGGGATATGGCAGAAGCAACCTAAACAAACAGTTCCAGTGGGCTCTGGGCTGAGTCACAGAAAGGGGCAGAAGCCTGGTACAGTCACTGGAACAAGTTGCTGGCTGTATAGCAGCAGGTGGAATCCATCGCTGTATATGCTTCAGTGACAGTAAATACAGCACATCTAATAAAGGACACAAAATCACTTCATAAAAGCGACACACACACCTGCAGCAGCATGCATTCTCTCTGCTAGTCCTGTGACAAAAGCCATGCAGGCCACACTGAGGCCTTTGTCCTTCCAAGCTACTAAACCACCCCTGTGATTGAACAAACAGTTAAACTGGATAAGGTGCTGGAAGGGACACCAAGCCGAAGGTGGCTGGAACACCAGTGGCATCAGTGGAGGTGTGAAGTAGGAATGAGTGGCAGTGACGGTGCAGATGGCATCTGGCTAGAAGGTGGAGAAGGAGTAAGCAGCTAGGGGGCTGAACTGAGAGCAGTACGGATGATGGGGACTCATGGGACATGGTCACTGACCCTCTGCACAGTTGGGCAGCCTTTGTGCCCCTGTAGTTGGCACATGGGAAAAGGAGCACTGGCAGGTGCTTGACAGACTTCTATGGGGACAACAGATGCAGAGCGAGATGTATGGAGTCGTATAGAGTGAGTCAGAACGCGAACACTCCTCCCTGTGGTTGCCCACACACAGCCTGCTTAGGTCTCCCAGGTAAACAAGAGGCTGATGCCCTTATAAATGTACAAGCTTTGTCTCTAGACACCTGGAGAAGCTACTCATTGAGTGCATGTGAAGTCTGGGCAGAGAGGGACCAACTTTGGCTGGAGGATAGTGAAAGGCTGCAGGCATTCCCATAGGTATTCTATTTTACATGCTATACAGGCGTGAGAGGCCTGCTCCTGGCTACGGCCTGGAAGGATGGATGCACTAGCAGGCAGGTGCACAAGGCAACATATCAGGCCTATGGCTTTGAGTGAGGGCTGGGAATATGCACACACCTGTGTGGATACTGCCATGAGTCTCTCGCAAGCATTTTCCTGCAAACAGACCACTGGGGAAGCCAGCAGTAAGAAGATAATCAGTTAGTGTTTTGTTTGGTGCCCATAGAGAACTGCCAGTAACAGAGCACTCATTTCACCAACA